TCCTGCTGTAAAAACATTTTTGTGTAGCTCGAGGGCTTTCACAGAAAAAAATGTTTATGTAAATTAACTGAGAGCCTCAATTACAGAAAACATTAGTATTGTCTATAGAGCCACAAACAGCCACAACAGGATCTATTACCATGTCCCACCAATGCACTAATATTTCAACCTGGAAGTCAAATGCACACCACAGGATTTCTTATGGTATGTGTGACATCAGCTCGTAAAGCATACGTGGCTGCCTTGGGGGCATAGACTCCACACCAGCTTTATGCTTCCACTGCTCATCTGACATGCCCAGGACGAGGATCCTCTCCACCAGGTGTGAGGATTATTTGAAGCTCATTTATGTATCTACACAATCTAGTACTGTAATATGCTGTGACTCTGACACAGAAGGAAGACCTGGAGAGCTGCATGAAACACACTGCTCAAATTAAAACACTTAAAATCGTTTCAGGTCTGCAGTAGTTGCCCCTCTCCCCATTTAAAATAAATAACAGCCAGACTTATAGCTCTAAATAATACATCCGTAATTTCCTCATTTTATGAGACTTTTGAAATGCAGGGGTTGTCTGCAGAGAAAATGCAGACAAAACCAAAGATTTTTGATTTTTTCCTTGTTTATGCGTTTTGCAAACAATCAAACTCTTTGGGCAACTTATTTTCCTCCTTTACTTGTTGCTAAAATCACAGGCACACCAGTATCAGACTTAGAGTGCTGGATCTTGTGAATGACTGTAAATGATTCTCCACTGATCATCAGATAGTCAACCAGTAACCTCTAGTTCAACTGCATTGCTTATCTTAACTGAGTTGTTATCAGAGGCCATCAGCCAGTCACACCCTGGCATGTGCCCACTGAAGGCAGCTCTGTGAAGCAATGGAATGATATTTAAATGCTCTGCTGCATGAAGACCATAACGTAGTTCACTCTGAAAGCAAATCAAACATTGGGGTTTTTTGGTGCAGGAGCACCCAGTTCGCATTTACTTGTTTCAGCTTGGATCTCCACTTACCATGCTTCAATTTTAATTTCAGAGCAATTTTGGAGTCTACAAATTAGAATTACTTTTGATGAAGCTGAACTGGAAGACTAGGTGATGGTCTCCCATTGCTAACAGACATTGAGGCCAACAGACCACATGAGCCAGTCAGGGGCAGATGACAAAAGGCATCTAATGCACATCATGCCTCCCCAACACCAACTGTTCTGGTTTACTACATAGCTGCTCCTACTAGGATGTACTGTTTCTGTAGACACTGCCTCAGCCAGAACCAAAATGACCAATTAGCACATCTAAAGAGACATGGGGAGCACTGTAAAAATCACTTCTTTTTCAGGAATGTAACACAGGAGAAAGTAGTCAAGGAACATGCCTGGAAAAGTTACAAAGCTTTTACACAGGATACCATAAACATTAGGTTTGCCAGGATTTTGTTGCGCAGTTGTATTTTCTAACGCCCTTTACCTGTAAGAATACGTGCAATTCTGTTGTACTATAAACAATAAGAATTAACACACAAGACTCATTCTTCAGTAAATTTAATTTGAAATAAGCTGAGAAGCAGCACTTTCATCTTACTTAAGAAGAAATGAATTGTACAATTATGCTCATTTCCCTCTGTGTAGCATTTGTGCCTTTCCATGCTTGCTCCTCGTGCAAGTCATGAGCCTGATAGCGTGACTGATTTGTTGTGGTGGCAGTTGTGCTCCTGGAGTTAAAAACTCCATGCTTGAGAACTGGTCACTGCCTTCTGCAGAGCCACAGCACCTGTGGATGGCCAGTAGAAATAATCACAGTAACTTTCAGGAGGGGAAGACTTATAAAATATTCTGTGTTTGAAAACTAATAAATACTGACAGAGCCCAGCAAAGTTCAATCCCACTACCGTTCACCCATACCTCAAACTCCATTTGATATTATCCTTAGAATATATTTACATACCACTAACCTAGTAATGAGTAGTAAATAGATGTGACTATATAGGTAATCTATAAAACAAATGAGTATTTATGATACTGGTGCAAAGGACTTCAGTGCACACATCCCTGACTATTTGTATAATGTAAAAGGTTTGTTTTAAAGGTGTTTCTGATAGAACATATACATACATACATATATATACATCTATATACATATATATGTATATATATGACCTAACTCTTGTCAGCCTAACTTCAATGAGACCCTATGACCTGTATCTGTGTTCCCTGGGGATTTTTCTCCTAGTAGGGGAGAAATAGGAAAAAAATCATATTATGATTAGCTAACTTGTCTGTTATCTTTCTTGTTGGTTTGAGTCAAGTTACTAAACATTGGGTATCAATGGGTATACATATATATGTATATATATGACCTAACTCTTGTCAGCCTAACTTCAATGAGACCCTATGACCTGTATCTGTGTTCCCTGGGGATTTTTCTCCTAGTAGGGGAGAAATAGGAAAAAAATCATATTATGATTAGCTAACTTGTCTGTTATCTTTCTTGTTGGTTTGAGTCAAGTTACTAAACATTGGGTATCAATGGGAAAAAAAAAAATCTATA